GGGCCGCGCTGCCTGTCAGTCACCCACCGCCACCGCCCGCCGCGGCCCGGCCGCGGGGCGGTCCCTGGGGCGGTGGCGGCGGCGAAGGGGGGGCGGTGCTGCCGCGCCCCGGCGGGTGACCCCCGGGCGGTGACCCCCCGCCGCCCCCGGGCCCCGGGAGCCGCCAGGACCGCGGCGTCCGCCCCGCGGGGACGCGTCTGTGCCTCCCGCCCCCGGTGGCCTCTCCATGGGAGCTCCCCGCAGCCGAGGTCAGGGGAAGGCCTGGCGGCCGCCCGCGCCCCACGGGGCTACCCGGGGCTGCGCTGCCTTTGTCGGCGCCCCACGGGGGCGTTCTGGGGAGGAAGACCGGAGACCCCTGAAAGGTAGCGTTGATTGCCGGTCACGGCCCCCGGGTGAATACCCACTGGGCTAAACTCGGCTCACAGGGTGCTCCTATCTGGCCCCTGGAAATGCCTAGAAAAATAGGTGGCTCCAAATTATTCCAGAGCAAGTTGGAGAGGCCGCAAACGAAAATACACCTGAATTGGCTCTAAGACAGTTGGGGTCCAATTAGGCTTAGCAGCAGAGATAGGCACTGCCTGAGCAGAATTACTGCAGTTACAGATGAAGGTCCGAGCGTGGCAGAAGGCTCGTGTCTGATCCTGTTTGGGTCCCACAAGGAGCACTGCTGAATCAGAGCTAGTAAACCTTGGTGGACTCAAGCTTCATGCCATGAATTTAGGTCTGTCAATGCAGTGCTTCCTGTCATGGTACACCAGACATTTTCTACTGTAAGGCAGCATGATTCCGCTATTACTTTGGAAACTGGACAGTAGATTGCACAGTCACCTTGTTATCCAGCAACATGCAGAAGTGATCAAGCTTAAATGCAGAATATGATGCCAAACAAAGTATGCAGTACTGGAAAAGCACTGTTCTCTCTGACATAATGTTTCAAGCACACTTAATTTATTGTTTCCATTAGAAAAGTATCTAGTAATCTGAAAATGGATCTAAACCCTATTGTTCTAGATACTACATTTGACACATAATAAAAGGAAATGCCCTGCAAAGCTTGTAGAGAGAGCAGATGAAACATGTTGTAGGGATACCCGTTGAGAGGGTTGTGCAGGTTTTCTCAGGTCTCGTAAATGTGTTGCACCAGCACAAACAAACCTGCCGGAGCACTTTCTGAAAGCCAGCACACAAACAGACAGGTCCAAACAAAAACGCTGAAGCTTTAACCTACCTTAAACTCTTTCCCTGCTTCTAACAAGCCCTCCTGGTTCTGGACGACCTCTCGGTTCTCCACAGAGGTGAGGACCACAGCTCACAGAAACACAGCATCTCTCCTGACCAAGCCAAGGGCAGAAGCAGCAGCACACACAAAGGCGATGGGTTTCCTCACAGGCAGACACATGCACGCACGGTGCACCGCCTCTCCGTGCTACCTGTCTCGTCTTGTTTTAGCTGTTTCTAACGAGCAGGCAGGGTACTGGAGCATGCACAAATCTTGCTTTTTGAAGCACCCTGAAAGCAGGCTCATATTTTTCAGTACCTGGGTGGCCCAGAAGAACTTTTCAGAGAGCAAGAACTAAACAGATAGTAAAATAAAATAGGCACATTTGTGGGTGAACCTCAGTTTCATGCTTCTTGGGCTTCTCTGTTGACCTACAAGAACCAAGAAACGCCAGAAGATGGAACTGAAACTGCCTCTTACTTGCTCATTCTTCACTGCCAGATCACATCAGGATATAAGATACCTGAGGACTACTTGTTTGCAGACTGCTGGAAGCAGAGACATAATCACCTATTGGTGAGTCATAACCACACAATCGCATAGGGGTGATGATGCAAACCTGCAAAGGCACAGAGGGTGATATTAACTTAAAGGTGTCTTCTTCCTCTTTCTATTTTTTGATAAAAAAGCAAAATATTGGGACAAGATCCTCAGTTTTGGCAAAGCAATGTAACTCCATTGCTTTTGTCAGAGCTCAGATTTACATTTGCTGAGGTTATAGCCCATTCTGCATGTAAAATATGGTTCTGCCTGAGCAGATTCTTCCTTCCTTTCTCTAAACTTGAGTTTAATTCTTGAAAAGTGTCCGGCTTGTCCAAAGCCTCTGGAAGACAGAACCCTCTTTTTTAAACGTGATTTTTGTAGGTGCTGTGACCCAAAAAATAACTTCTTGATATTGCACCCCCTCTCTAACTTCTGCAAGAGGGAAATCACAGACAAGACATAAGGTTAGGAGTCCACTCTGTGACTTACAGACCTATGCCAAAAGCTTAGTAAGCAACTGAACTTGCTCATCAGCTACAGATCAAGGCTATCACTGACATATTTGAAATTATAATCTTTTTTGGAGTGATTTCTAGTAGAAACACTCAGACAATGGCCAACTTGAACTATTCTTTCTTTTTCCCTAAAAAAAAACCTAAAAAGAACATGAAAAGTTCTTGTGATCATCGAAATCATCAGCAAAGTAAGTAACAGTAATCTTCTAGCTTCACAAGGATACATACTTGAATACCTACAGATATGCATCATATATTTTTTATATACTGAAGGGTATATCAGTTCTCAGCAGACACAGAGGGTAGATTAATGGTGCCAGTTGCTTTTGTTGTTCTTAATATCCTGTTGCTTCACCATATTTACCAGTTCCCCTGACTTTTAATCATGCAGATCCTTTCTGGTTTGGTTTTGGTTTTTTTTTTAAACTCTCCCTAGTCCATTTTCCCGGATGCACAACTTTTTCTGTGTAACTGAAACTTTCTTGAAAAGTGTTTGCACTTTTGATCTCTTTAACAGTATCTCTGAGAGCGTACTGAGGAAAGCACAGACCCCTGGGAGTTTTGCTTTCCCATTGTACCATATTCTTCATGAGTTTTTAGTTTAGTCCTTCTGCAGATACATTAGACCCAAGAAACCTTCAAGTCCTTTTCTCATACTGGGTTGTTTTCCTTGCATATCTCTTCCTGAGCTTAGAGGATGAATAGTGTCATGGCAAGAAGCAAACCAATATGCAATCAACTTTTAAAATTTGTATTTTTCTAGGGAACGCAAATTGTTTCCTTCTGGTGTCTGACAGAGTAACCCAAGCAATTTGCCATGGCAAGCAGCTTATGAAACAGAAAAAAAAAATTATCATCACAAGGTGCTCTGCTGCTATAACAAGGAAAGAAGTTGAGACCTTACCCATTTTGTTCACTGTATCATCTAGGTAGCAGAATCTGTCAGTAGAAGTTTGTGTTAGATTCAGTGCAAGTGAGCTGTCTCGTGGGCCTATCTGATACTTGGATCAAAACTGAAGTGCAGTCAGAAGGAAAGAAAGAAGTGTTCAGAAGAATTGAAACAAGTCTGGATTCTCAGAAACACAAAGCCAAATCCATTTCCGCAGCAAGCTGATGCAACTCTGAAGATGCTGGGAAGGGATGAACCAATTCTGAAATTAATTTGGCTTGCATTCTCTGACAATCTCCATTCTTCCCTCCTCCTCCTTTCTTTATTTTTTTTAAGGTGGAACAAATCTCTGCAGATCTGTGAGTATTTTGGAGTTACCTGGGACAGAGGATGGAATAGGCTTGCAAAGTCTGTCTTCAAACCCATGCTCTTTACAGGGCTGCCCCTGGGAGGGGCAGTCTCATTGCTACACATTTTACTTGGGTTAGTGAGTGAATTTAGAAATGGCAAAGGGAATCAGCTAAGGGCAGAGAGGGGAAACACTCATATTACCACTGTGGGAGAAAATCAAACCTGAGTTTTGTTGGCTCAGAGGAGGACAATTTTGAAAACTCTTTTATGCGCAAATAGTCACAGAATCCAGTGGAACTAGTACTGGATTCCTGGGCTGAAGATTGACTCATTTGTAGATACAGAGTGGATCTCAGGTATACAGAAAATGTTTGCCTTGCTCCTGAGCTAGAAAGGATGTCTTCTGTGGGGCAGTCTTGAAAAGTGAAGGAAAAACTGAAAGTTTCTTAATCCCTAGACTACTGATATGAACCATAAGTAACACAGCTCCGACTGTGTGATGGAATGAAGTGTATGCTCCCTGTTCTATTTTAAAAACACTCTCTCCCAGTTGAAGTTTATGCTGTTGATATACTATAGGGCTTGAGAAACAGTGACCAGCCTTCTGAGCTGCCTGGGGGCTTAGCTGAATTCGCATGTAAAATTATTCTGAGTCATGGACAATCCTCTTGTAGCTTCCTGGTGAGGTTGTAGAGAAAATACTGCTAGATTACAAGCCCCAACAATAGCATGACTTGGAAAGAAGCCTTTGAGAGAAACTCTTAATATATCAGATAAATCTATGTGGACATGCAAAGCTAGAGCTCGCTCCTGACAATGAATTCTTATACTGTGAGTGACTGACTATAAAAAGATTATGGGGAAAATCTGAGTCTTCTGCAGCACAAAGAAACCATGAGACTATCAAATGAAAGTCATCTCAAAGAAACCATGCTAAACTGTTTAACACTATAATTTAACACAATCTCCTAGAGACTGGGGAGTTTGTGAGCTAATCCTTACTGCAGGTTGTATCATGAGAGACATAGCCAGAAAAGAGATCACAAATGTGAAATTCTGCAAGTGTGTACCATCATCTCAAGGGCCTCGGACCCTTGGAGATACCTAAGACTTGGAAGCAGCAGTACAACTGAGAGACCGCACAGAGGAAAAGAAAAGACCAGTCAGTCCTCGTGTCAAAGGATTTTTTAAGACAGACACTGAACTGGAGAAATCTGCTGGAGTAATCAATTAACAAAACAAAACACCGAATTAATTAATCAACCCTCAATTAATCAACAAAATCTTCCTCTATATCATCTCCAAAAACACCCCATTGCTTCAGATGACCCAAGCAGTGAGTGGGACCACTTTGGTTTTAATCACCAAAATAATGGCATAAATATTGGATTAAATTCTACTAAGTAAGAGTGCTCAGGCTTCTTTCAACCAAATCATTTGAAATGTTGCAGTTGATTCTGGGTGAATAGAGCAAATCATCAATTCTGGAGGGCTATCTGACCCAGGACAGGATCTTTCTTATGGATTCCTTTTTGAAATAAGCAAGGCAGGAACTTGCCAGGTGCCTGGCCTAAGCACCACCAAAGCTAGAGAGAGGAAAGACTCCTGTTAACTGAAATGAGTTCTACTAAGTTAGATTTGATCAGTTGTAAACTGAGAATAGAAACTTGCAGAGAGGAGATGCTCTGTAATCACAGAAAGGCTTTGTAATCAGAGCTTGGAAGTGGAAGGAGGTCTATGTTCCATAGTTTAAAAATACAGACAGCTGCTGATTCCTTTTTTCTATAAAACCCCACAACCCAAATACACATACAAAAAAAGACATAGTTCAAGGCTGGCCATTTCCCAGTCAGCCTCCTTGTAGAGAGACCATAGGAATGACAACAATGGCTTTTCCCTAGCCATGATGTGCAATAGTTAGTAACATGAGGCCCTCGCCTGAGTGGGATGTTTGGACATCAGATTCTGCTGGAGGAGTGGTCAGGTGGGAGAGATGAGATACAGGTTTGATCTCTAGGACTGTATTTACAAGGAATGTCTCTTTCTACAACTGCCTGCTGGTTTCAGTCTGACCCGAAGCACACTGCCCTCTGCAGTGTCTCATTTGTTCCTGTGGGTGTTTGCTTAAGCTCCCAACAAATGTTCTTTTTGACATTCAGTGCTTTTTCCAGGGAGTTATAGCTGATCACATGGTGAGTCTGGAACCTGAGATACTTAGAAATGGCACTGATTCTTTCATGAAATACCCTCATCTGACCAAGAGCTGCCAGGTCTGGTGAGGTCCCGTATCTCCTTCCACTCTCTGCTGAGCCTGCCATTGTAAATCAGCAAGGGTCATATAGGGTAGGAGGCCTCGTAATGCAGGAATATGTATGTTGGGAACCAAACTGATTTTTCTGGCAATGGTTTGCTGGCATATGTAAAGGAGCTTTTGTTAGCTGTCAGCTTGAATGGAACGTCAGTCAGTCGTTCCCTTGGTGTGATCTTCAGATCACTGCACTCTGAGAGAGGGGTTTTGCCTTTGTCTTCAGACAGCAGTAACTCAGATCTTTGGAATTTGAAAGCCTTATTTGTTGTTAAGAATCCCTTGCAATATTTAATCCCCATGTGATTTCTTTTTCAAACTCTACAGAAAGTTTGAACACTTTGCAACTTACATGCTATCAGGTTTTTTTATGGGACAGTTGGGATCACTTGCCATGTTCTGGGTCATCTGTCACTTTTGCTGGCAGGAGCCAGATTTCCAGAGTGGAAGTGGGATGAGTTGCTAAGGGATGTCTCTGTGTCATTTCTGCGTTCACTGATGCACAACAGATTTATCTTGTAGTTCAAGGCCTCTCTGTACCAGATGAGTTTTTACTGAAATCTCAGACTATCCCACATGTTCTCCTGGAGAAGATACTAAGATTATTCATAGTCTTTTTTTTAAATAGTCTTCTTACTTCTTCATGAGCTAATGCTGATTTTCTTCCCCTCAGCATCAAAGAACAATTGCTAACTACATCTGTTTCTTGCAGAAATTTCAAAGCAGTGTTACGCAGCATGATTCAGGCATGCACACATGGTAGAACCAGATAGAATTAAAGACATTTGTCTTTATCCAGTTAAACTACTGGTTCCTTTTCCTTTGATTGCTTTTTAATGTACTGGCTGCACGCTGTCTCTGCCATGCAGCCCTCCGTCTCATCATCAAACTCATGCTGCTGAGCTTTTTCTTCTCTTCTATCAAGTCCTTCCCTAAATTCTGATTTTAATTCTGTGAGGAGCTGCCCTGCACCTTGGTTCCTACCTATGTGTCCAAGTAAAGCTGATACAAAGCAGTACTCACATAGAATACAGCTACCTAGTTGACTGGAGAGGAGAATGAAATGCAGCATTCTCAGCATCTCTCTGCTTCTTGGTGCTCTTGACACTCCAGTGTACACTCTACTCCTGTATACCTTAGTAAAGCCAGCTTATCTGTTCCCTTTCCATTACAAACATCTGTTTTCCTCTGTGGCAGCCTCTTTCTGATGCTTCTGGGGAGTGTTTTCAGCTCCTCCTTTGTCCCTTTCTGTGACTACCTCAAATATGCACTGCTGCAGTAACAAAGTCCATTGGTGACCTCAGCCTTCATGTTATTTATAGCAAAGGTAGACTCTCCTTCAGTACAGCTGCTTCAATACAGCTCAGACAGTCATCAGAGCTAGAGATCCTGAGTTACACAGCTCCCTGTGAGCTTATGATGTTAGTGGTATTCCCACATCAAGTGAGATTCATGCGAGATATTGGAAGGTCTCCTTAGCAGTAAGGCTATGCTCCTGTGTCACTGTCTGGTCTGGAATAGTGAAAGACCCCTAGTAAAAGTGAGAGCATAGTCCTCCCACACAAATGCCTTCAAGAGCAGCATAGGGTTAGAAATTGTCCCTTCAGTCAGTGAGGTGACATAGTTGATCTCTCTAGAGTATTTCTACACCTATTTCGCACAGATTCTCTTTTTGCTGGTAACTACCCTCTTCCTTATTAAAGCACTTTCCCACAATGAAGCCACAGCATCTTTTTTTTTTTTTTTTGTCAGCAGTTCGGTCATCCCCTTTCTTCTGGTGCTTCTCCATCAGGGAAGGTGAAAGGCAGAAGAGGACCTGCAGTCACTTGCATTGTGAAGGACTGGTGTGGGCCACTGCATTTTTTGAGGTAACTTGTCATGTGTTCGCGAGCTGAGCAGTGATGGGAGTGTCTATGTGTGTGTGTGTGTGTGTGTTCAAATCACTCAGATACTCTCTGAGGGCTTTCAGAAGTCAGAGGTCCTGCAAGATTCCTAAGCTGAGATGCCCAAAGCAACATGTTGCAAATTTCTTCCCTGGCTTCAGACTCATGACTTTGCCTTTTCCACTTCCAGTCAGCGGACTTCAGTTGGGGAAATACTGAGGCTAATGTACCAAAACACTGATCCTAAATGCTACATGAATCCAAGAGATTGATGGAATTTCAGCCATTAACTGTAAAAACATGAGTAAGCTTATGTTAATCTACAGATGTTGTATTAGCACTGAGCGATTTCCCAGTCCTCATTAGCAATACGCTTTGATAGGGATAGAAGGTGTTAGCTATAGTTTCCCTTCAGTGAGCTGTTTAATCATTGGAGCTTACTGGCAGTGGGATTTGGGGGACTTAACATGATCACAAAGTGAATTAGGAGTAAAACAGTACCCTCTCTCTACGTTCTCTGGAATAGTGCACTGGGGAGGGAATGGGTTCAGAGCTGCTCTCTTCCCCCATTTAAGCGGCACTGGTGTGCTCCAGTGAGGACTAAGCAAGAAGCTACTGCCTCCTTAGTCAAGATCTTCCTGGTTTTCAGGAGCCCGCTTAGACCAGCACTCCTGCAGAGATCAGCACATGCTGGTGAACTTGCTATAGCATGTTTAGCCACATGTTCTTGTTGGCTTACTAAGATCTGATCCAAAGCTTACTGCAGATACAGCGAAGATTCATGTACTTCTTCAGTGGTCTTTGGGCTACTCTGAGAGGCAAAAATACAACTGTGATAGATACATGGGTGAGTGAACTCTACATTACCATCACATTTCACTCTGAAGAGATGGCAAAAGAGGTTCTGCAGCCCAACCTTGTACGTCCCAGAGCAGTAAAAGCAACATGAATCCTACTTAATAAGTAATTTGAAAGCACTTTCTGGTTTGTGAATCATCTGCATCCCAGCCTTTCTGAGATTCTTGGGTAATGAGATGAGAACAGTGCAGCTTCTGTAGTCATTTCTACCTGCTCACAGGGCTGCCAAACTGCTCTGGACCTAATTTTGAGCTGTTATTTTAAAAAGCTCTCTGCCACTAAGCAGTTCTCATCTAGAGATCTCAGACATGAAGTAATCCTCCCAGCTTTTCTAGAAAAAAGCCAACTACCATTAAACCTGTTTTACAGGTGGGTAGACTGTGCTTCAGTCTGCCTGAGATCACAAAACGTTATTTAGGGCCAAACTGCCTGGGCTGACACATTCCTGTAGCAAGGATAACTGCCTAGGAGGAATACTAACCTCCTTCATTACAGGAAAAGAGTGCCCAGGCAGAGGGAGGGCTGGCTGTACAGCCTCTGTTTATGTACATGCTTTGCACATGACTATGAAGCAAATAAACCTCACTGGCCGTGTGGCTTGAGTCCAGGTGTCCCCTGGATGGAGACGCAAGTAGAGTAAACTAAAACGCCATGCTTGGCTCTTTGTGCTGAGCCATCCAGCAGGTGGGAATGTAAAGCTCCACCTGATTGCTTATGCCTGAGTCACCTCCTTTAGCATTTGTTATTTCCTAGTATGTTAGCATGCTGCCTGCTGGATAATAAATTACTTCATTCGCTGCAGTAGTGAGGACACGATTAAAAATTAACCCTGGGAAATGATCCTGCATATTTTTTTCAGTCAGAGCCAGACAAGGGAGAATAGGAGAGGAATGCTGTTGAAATCTGATTTGCAGAAAAGGTGAGTGGTGAGCGTTTGGTAATGGGGATGGCTCAGGCTTTAGTTTAATCACTGCAGTTGTAGGCAATCGATGATCAAAATTCAGAGGGCTTAAGGCACTCGGTAAAGGTAAAAGCAGTGCAAGTAGTAAAGGCTCAGGCATATTGCAGAGGAGGTCAAAGAATGGGATTAATGGGGATTACTATTTTCTGTTTGCAGAAAAAATTAGTTTATCACATGGATGTTATTACCACATGTAATGAATGGAACGGGATCTGTAGATGAAAAACTCTTCAGTTTTGGTTTACGTGTTGCACCCTTTTCTCAGTATCACACTTAAAATCCACACCCTCTCTATAGCAGCATGCAGAGTTTATTTCCAGAAGTGAAGGGCTTGCATTAAGTATCTGAGGAAATAGAACAACTGACAGACAGATATTTCATTTTCTTGGCTTCTCTTGCCTTCAGCACCCACACAGTATCCATCAAATTGTCTTGAGTCAAACCCTCACAGGCTGCATTTGAAGCTTGGGCAAGGAGCCAGGCAGGCTTAGAGAGCAAAGACCTTTCTGTCCGCACGTACTTACCCCTGTCTGTTTGCTGCAGTCCAGAGCAGGGGAGCTCAGCTTTAGACTCAACAAAAAATACCTCCTTACTCCCTTTGCATTGTTCTAAGAAAGGGATTTGATCTGAAGCCTGCAGACGCTCATATTAATGATCCCATTGTTGACACAAAAACTGCACCTTGTTCTGAGACGTCATTCAGCTGGCTTTGGTACAGCAGCAAGCAGCACATCCCATCCTGAGCCCACAGTTCCTCAGGGATGTTCCAGGCCCCTGGGCTGCTCCATTCGTAGATGGTTGGTACCTATAGATAGTCTGGATGGTAACATAAGCTGTAATGCCAGGTGCAGTGACTATGCAGGCAGATTTGCCCTCTGGCTGGCATGCTTTTTTCCAGAAGCATATAATAGCTGTTGATTTCAGAAGCCATACTGTGATATGACAGCACCTATGAAAGAGTCAAGCTGAGGTCTGCATGTTTGTACTGAGTCACCTGCCCATCTCTATGTGGCAGAGGTATTTTAAAATGTCAGGCTTAAGCAGATATTATGCTGCAGCAGAGAAGATGATGTAATGTTCCTTCATAAACAGTTTTACGAAATTGCTGGATGAAAGGTACTCAGGTATTGCTGTGTTCAAGACATTTCCTACTCTAAGATCTTTCCTTACCTGTGGCATTTCAGGGATCATAGTTGAAATATTCCTCAGCCTAATTCCTGCTTTTAATTTATGTTCTCTCCTTTCTCTCTCCATCCAGGCAGAGCTTTGTCATTAGTCCTAGTACCTGGCTATCTTGATCAGCTATCAGAGCCCCCAAGTCTCCTGTCAGTTCTTCTCCCTGGTCCTGTCCATTCCATTGATGAGGAGTGTGCCTTCAGAACAAGCAGCCCTGGTTCCCATGTACCTGGGAGTTGGCCATGCATCTGGGAGTTGGCCATGCACCTGGGAGTTGGCCATGCACCATGCCACACAGCAGGAAGGCTTCCAGACTTAGCAGCAGGGTAGGGTGGTCACAGGGACCTGTGTTCCTCAGCAGTTGTTTGTCTAACATCTTGGTTAAAAGTGGGCATATCAGAAAGTTGTGCTTAGGGTGCTAGGACACTCCCTGAACATATTTCCTAGATAGCTGTTGTATAAACAATGAGGAAGCAATTCAAGCGTGCGATCACAAACAAGAAGGTACCTGGTATGGTAGTGATGTGGGAACTGCCCTTGCTGGGATGTTGACTGTGGAACAAACAGGGTTTGTTCCGTGTTTCAAGATCTTGTACTCATCGCATGCAGCAGGCAACAGTTTCACTGAACTCTTGCTGCAGCCAAGCATGCTGCTGGAACAAGGATTGTATTTTAATGGTCACTGACCAGGTGTTATCACAACAGTTGTTGTCAACACAACACTGTTTTATAAGCATGGTCTTTGCAGAGGTTTCGGAAAGCCCAATAGCTTAGAGTTAGTTTGGCACCTCTTTGTAGGCTACCTAGCGGATATGGTTTGAAATCCCTTCCTTGAACTTCAACAGGTTTGAGATCACACTCATGGTTTGGTTATTTATTTATTTATTTCCCCACCCGCCCACCTGCACCCAGATCTCTGTATTTCACTCTCCAGGTTGCCAAGGGCTGTGTGTCTTGCTCCTGTGTTGTGAGGCAAGTATGTCAAGGAAGAAAGAAGTGACCTATGCAAACAGCTGTAGGCAGCTGCTCGCTGTTCAGTTCTCTAGAAAAGGAAGTTGTGAACTACACCTGGAAAATCTGCCTTCCACAGAACAAGAGTTAACCAGTAAACAGTGAATATACAGTTGAGTGCTAGACACTTGTGTTTCCACCGACTTCTAAGGAGGATGGGAAGGAAATGTATTTTTAACACCAGCTTAACTTGTAACCTGATTTGTTACTGCAGGGAGTAATCAACTGATAACTTAGCTGCCTGTGTTTGGTACCCAAGATTACTGGGAATGGTCTTTAATGAATGTCCCTGTGTTAGCATATCCCCAGCATGGCATAGGGAGTGATCAGTGCAGGACAGGGGAGGCTTGTGTGTATCCAAGGAAGACAGGTTCCGACAGTGGTGATATGTCAGGAGTGGTTGTGGGGGAAACACACTTTGTCACACTGCTTGGTAGTATTTTAGACATAAGCATCTACATTGGCCTCTGCTACAAAATAGCAGGAGCCAAACACTGTGCAGAATTGAGTCATTTTAATGCCAGCGCAATGGATGAACTTCTGCTCATCTCACCGAAGCAATATTTTTGAATTGATCAAGCCTCTGCAACCCATCATATTAGAAAGACCCAGGTGCAAATCCAGCACTGGTTTTGCCACCTTTATGTTTTCCAAAAGTTCAGATCCAAATTGAAACAGAGATTGTCAAAGATCTATTTCCATTGCTAACAATGGTAGGCGAGTCTGGGAATGAAAGGTCTGCTCAGACTATAGGTAGTGGACGAAGGTGAGTCACAGTTCTACAGGAGCATCATGACTCCTACACATAACAGTAGTTTGTGGTCATAGGAGGATTCCTATTCTGAATTTCTGTCTTCTGCTGAAGGGATTTGCTCAGCCAAATGCACACCATGCAGCTCTGGCACTAGGAGTTTCTATTAAGCCACTATAAGGGTTTACCCCAGGGTCTCTTCTAAGATGTTACAAGAAAAGAGGATGGAGTGCTGAGACAAAGGTGCAAGCATACAGTGATATAGTGTGGGTTTTCATGGCCAAAGGGCTGGCCTACAAGCACAGCTGGAGTCCCTGGTAGAAAACAACATGCCATGTTTGCTGCCATGTACCATCACCGGCCAGTGGGGCTGCTGACAGATCCAGCCTTGAAAACAAACTGTCAAGCAAGGCATTTGAGGTAGGTGTGAGATTTGTGTGCCCTGGGATGTGTTTTATAGTTTTTAATACTTGTGAACACTACCTGAGCATCTGTCTGGGTCTCAGCCAGCATGCTGAGTTAGGTAGTAGAGCTGAATTTTACTGAAACTTCTAGACAGTGCATAAAATGTACAGAAACATACCAATAATCCATCTCTTCTTATCACTAACCTAACTTAGCTGCTGGAATGTAAGTACATAGTCCTTTTTCTAAGCATGCATTATGCAAATTCAGAGCCAGGATTGTAAAGAGAATATTAAGAAATCGGGTCTCTCCTGTCATTTGAGCAAAACTTACTCCCCTCTCTGTGAGGATAGGATTCCTTCCAGTAGTCTAGAGGAAGTTACACACAACAATGACCCAAATACAGATGAATCCCTAGCTGTCTGAAGAAGCTATTCATGGAATAGCCCCTTACATGAGCCCCTTACATTTTAAGGAAAATTCAGTACAGTACGGTGGTGTGTTGCATCACTTTTCATTCCTGTATAGTATTTGCGGAACTCAACTCCACACTGCCTGCAGCAGAAGCAGATGTGTAGGGTCAAGGGTTCCTTTGTCAGAGCAGATAGGACCATTTTTGCCTTTTCTCAGTTCGTTCACTGATGCTGAGCCAGAAGCGAGCACAAATCACCTAGTAGACCATGGAGCTGAAACACCCCTGGGAGCGTTGGGAGTGCATAAGGCACTTAAGGCATAAGGAGCACTTTGGCTCTTAGCATGTTAAGACAGAGAGCCATGTCTTCTAAGCTACTAATACTGGCCCTAGGATTACATGGCTGTGCACAGGGATGCAGTGGGTTTGCAGTGTTTGTTCCAGTCTTCAGAACTGCCTGACCTCTTATCTACCTGCTGATCTCCTCCCTCCACCACTGCAGACTGCACTCCAGCCACCTTATTCCTCTCTTGTTGGACAGGGATTTGTGAAGGACTTTTGCCAGAGCTGTTGTCTGTAGCGTGGCTCACAGCAGTGCTGTTGCTGTGATGGCTGAAAGCCTTGGTGTACATGAGTTGCATTCAGAGTAAGCTTTGAACTGTGCAAAGTGTATGCAAACTAGTGGTGTAATAGCATGCAAACTGGTGCTTTGACCTGATTAATTTTTTTAAATCTCCAATTTCTCCACTGCTTCACACCATATCTTGCCACTTACACTGATGGGAAGGGAAAATAAATAGATCCCTTTCTGATTTGGAAACATTTTGTCGTGGCTTTACATTGGCAAAAAAGCAAATACACATTGAAAAGCTGTTGGTTCCCCTGTCTGAAGACAACTAGATGAATTTAACAGCTGGATGAATTTAAAAGCTTGTTTGGAAAAACAGACCTAAAAAACATAGTGGGGCCACAGGTTCCTTTACACTGCAACAAGTGATGTAAAGAACAAGTGATGCTCCTGAAAAACTGTGGACAAGGTCATTGAACCTTAATTCCTTTGTAACATCAATTTATTTTCCTCTTAGTTTGTTGTCAAAAACAAACCTGTAACTCAATCATTGCCTGTGGAATTCATCCCAGAAGAAATGCAAGGACCACCAACAATGTGGACCAGGTGTGGATTATAAATAGCATCATCAAGAG